AAAGTTTTTTGGATTAAAAAATCTGATATTTTCCCAATTTTGACGAAGAAACATGGAAATAACCTAGATTCATACATTTCAGATAAGCAATTTTTAAATGATCAAATGACGAAACGTAAAATGACACTTTGTTCAAAGAATTTAGCATTTTGCCGAAAGCTGAAAAAGATAAAAGAAAGGAGATTGCAATATTTAATATTAATTGAGCAACAAGAGGATCAAACTGAGAAAATTGAGTTTTTATCATCAGAACAAAGTGAGGTCTCTTCTTGTCATGATTTCGACTATACAGCAGACAAAATTAAATCAAGTACTAGCGCATCAACAGTGTTATCTAAACTATTTGCAAAAGAAGTTGCAATTACAGGTGTTTCTAAAAATATTTCACCTAGAAATATGATGCACTTGCTCTCTGACAATGTAGTTACTTCTGGGGGAAATTTGACAGATGGTCCAGTATAAACGTTGGATAGAATCTTATGAGGGAATTAAAGAAGTATTGGAATCAATGGAGAGACATACTTGGTATTTAGATCAAACATTGATTTCTTTATGTCTTGCAGATAAAGAACTTAAAGATGACGAGGAAGAAAAAGGTGAAAAAAGGTCTTTTTTTGCAACCTGTTCCTACTCACTATGAGAAGTCTGAAAATCTAATTATTCTGAAAGACCAAGACTTCATCCAGAAGCCGCCATCTAGCTTGTCGCAGTTGGTTGGTAAGAACTCGTGGTTTATTTTTATCTTTTAAATTTAAGTAAAGACGATGATAAACCTTAGATGAACTGTCCTTCATCTTATTTGGATTTTATCGACCAATTTAAAACTTTTATTGACTTTGTTCGCCGAATAAATGTCGTCAACGATTGCTCTGATTAAACAATTAAGCTTGTGTCAGAGTTTGTTAATTCCGTTTACAAAGATTTCTTTTGTTTGTGACACACATGAGTTAAGTTCGCTCGCGAGCGTTATTCTATTAAAAAATACTTAAAAAGTATACCAAGTTTTTAAGCTATTTTTCTTGACCTTAATTAGTATATATTTTTTTGTTTTAAACTTCCCAACCATTTCCAAATTAATATTTAAGCCTTTTAGAGTTCATAGAAAAAAAAATGGTATTTTATATCCATGTTTATGGTCCCCGTTTTTGGTTCAAAAAGCTGGGGTTGCGGGTCACAAATTGTAAAAATGTGGACCTTAAAAATGTGTTTCGAAAAAAAATTTTTAATGTAAAATCATTTTTATCCAACCGTTCAATTAAAAGCGAAAAATTTTTGTTTTGAAAAATCAATATATTAGATTAAAATAAATGTGTTAAATTATAATAAAACATACAAATTTAAAACAATCAGACTCCATTGTTTGAATGACGTCGTTTAAAGTTCAGACAATATAACTATAATAATTGTTTTTAATAAGATGGTTTTAGGAGCAACCTATGAGTTCTTAGAAATCGGAGAAGTATTGTACAAATACCACAACAGGTTCAGGAAAAAATGGAGGTTTTCTATCAACTTTGGAATAACAACTAGGAGACAATGTTCTGTTCAATTTGTTTGTTGCATTGTAATAAATTACCATTGAGGTATATAATTTTAAAACTACATGCTCCAACTAATTCAAAAGAATATTTTACTGGCTCTTTTGCAAAAGCTCTATCTAAGGTATCTCATAATAAGTAAGTTAAACCAGTTTCTTACATGGCTAAGTCATGTATCGAAGCCCTACTTGATATACAGTTCCAAAGTTAAAATTTTTGAAATTAAATAGCGTGTTTAAAAATAACTGTACAAAGGCTTTATATCTTGTACTATTTGTACTTTTTACAGATAGAAATGCAGCATCCATTTTACACTTTAAAGCAAGGTTTACGTTATCTTTCAATATTAGGAGCACTTTTGGTTGAAAGATAGCATATTTTATATTAAATTTTATTTTTTCAAATTTTGCTGGATGATAAATCTCTCCATTATTTAAGGATTTTTGTTAAAATCCTTTTGAACTATTTTGTAATTTTTGAAACATCTTAAAACAGTTTAAAAGCAGGTTGTTTACAAATTAACCAAAGACCGTAAAAACAAAATTATGAAAGATTAGGTTTGATTATGATCAATCTAATAAAGGTTTAACTTCCTAATAAGAAATTTTAATGTTGGTCATAAGCACATTGCAATTTACATAAAAATTACAACGTTGATTAACGTAGAAAAATCTTACGAACATGGGAAATTTAAATACTAGAAAACCTTACCTATTCTTAACGCTATCTCTTCTTTTTATTTCTAACATTAATCCAACGTTATTTATAAACCAAAACGCAGCTTCAACGTTGGTATGGCTACTGGTAAATAACGATGGTGCAGCCACTGAAAAATAATGTTAATATTGCCACTGGAAATAACGTTTGTATGGCCACTAAAAAGGCTTTTACCATGACATCAATTTTCAAAGGTCAGCAGGAAATGAAACGTTAAATATCTAATTAGATATAAAAAAATAATAAAGTCTATAACAACTAAGATTTTAGACATGGCAGATCTATATAATAAGCAAGTTAATTATCAATTACAATTTAATTAATTAGAAATAATGAACTTAACAAAGTTTGCCCAAAATCTAGAAGAGACGTAAAAAGCATTGCAATAAATCGTCTAATATGATCACTAGTGACTCTCTTGTAATATGAATCGTCTAATATGACACTAGTGACTATCTTGTATCAAAAGCGTCAATTCGAAAAATCATTGTATATTTTTAGAAAAGTTGAAGCATTATGGAGTAACTAATAAAGTCTACTATTGGATTAAAGGTTACCTCACAGATAGTAAACAATATGTTCTAAATCAAGATTACGGAATACTTATAATCCCGTGTGGAGTGAGTCCATGTAATGATCGCAAGGATCAATACATGGTTCTCTCTTATTCTTAGTTTATTATGTAAAAGATTTAAATAATGCATCAATAAAATTAAACCCAATTATGTTTGCGGATGATACAAACCTACTTCTTTCCAACAATAGTAACAAATAACTTTATGAAGAAATGAGTCTTGAATTAAATAAGATAAATGACTGGTTTATGGCAAATAAACTCTCATTAAACGTTAAAACAACAAAGTATACCTTATTTCATAAAAAAGCAAGAAGAAAATCTTCCCCTTATATTACCAGACCTATTTTTAAATAACATTCAAATAAAAAAGCGAGACTATATAAAGTTTTTAGGAATACTTGTTGATGATAACTTAGCTTGGCTTCCCCATTTAAATATTTGCAATCAAAAGTTAGTAAAATCATTGGTCTGATGTAATAATGAAGTAAAGCAGCCGTGGCGCAGTGGTTAGAGTTCTGGCTCAGAACCCAGAGGTCCGAGGTTCGACGCCAGCTCTAGCCCAACAAGTGACATTGGTACGGAAGGAGGCGTGAATTTCCTGTTAAATGCTCCCCCGCGGTGCTCTATGATAAGACCGCAAGGACTTCTGGGAGCACCTAAATACAAAAAAAAAAAAAAAATTTACTAAGTTCCTTTCATATGTAAATACAGCTTTCCTAAAATTAATATACTTCTCTTTAATTAATTGTTTTCAGGCTCTTGCTCATAAAAAGCCCTCCAAAAACAAAAATAGCCCCGGGCCCCAAGAAGTCGTATTCCGCCACTGATTGTTTCATTAACTATGCTAATATTACATGGGCTAGTGCACAACCATCAAAACTTAAAAAAATAATTGCAAAAACATGCGTGTAGAGTTATTTACTGGAAAAAAAGAAGAGAGCGTACTGAACTTTTAATGAGAAATTTGAAAATGATGAATTTATAAAATTTTATCAGCATGTAATTTTCATGTATAAATATATTAATAACCTAACTCCAGCTAATTTTATTTGTAAGTTTAAGAAAAATTTAAATGAAAAGTATTTTTTAAGAAAAAAAATTATACTCACAAGAAATTAAATATATGTTCAAAATTTTCAATGACATATCGAGCACCTAAGGTATGGAATTCTTTTCAAAAGACTAATGCAAATATGATAAAACTATTAAACTCATTTGAGTTTCAAGCAAAAAAATATATTTGTAATTTCGTGGAAAAATAATTTTGAAACAATTTTGTAAATTTATTTAAACGAACTTTACTTATTATTCTTGGTAGTTACTAAGGATATAAATTTAATTTAATGTATCAATTATTAAATCTTTTTGTATATGTTTGTATTTATTTCTTTGAATACCTAGAATTGCAAAATATCTTTGTAATTGTAAAAATAAGTTTTTCTTTCTTATTACATCATCAGTTTTTTTTATATATTTTTTATTTTATTTCTTTTATATTTTTAATAGATTTTAATAACTCTTTTTAAATATTTGATAATTTGAAATGTAAATGTTTTATTATATTGAGGGGCTCTGTCAAAAAATTGAAGTGATATATACAATTTTAAATATTTTTTTTTATGAGTGCTAGCCCACACAATATTTGCGTACAAAAGCTAAGAAAAAGACAAAAGTAAAGCATATTAAGTGATTCACTATCGAGAATAGGTCTCAATTTATATTGAGACCAATTACAGAGGACACCTTTATTTTAAGAAGACTAATATGGTTTCTCTGTGAAAAATTATTATATGAATACAAGAAGGTGTTACATTTTCACATAAAAGTTAAGTACTTCTTCTCAATTCAATAAACATTTAGCAATCATGGCCGACGACACTAGTTTCAAAAAGGAAAAAAAAAAAGTTCTTCAGAAAAAAAGTGTTGTCGGCTCTCGCACTGCATGAAACTGCAATTCTTTATGAATCTTTAAACTGCTATAACTTATGAACTGCTTTGAACTTTGGTCGCAAACTTTCAAGTTTTACTTATGAAATGATTTGAAGCTATTAATTTTGAAATCAATGAATTCAACTGTTGATTTTGCTAAATTCTATTTTGAAAAACTGTTGAATACAAAAACTGAGAAATTTAAAATTTGTTGCTATAATTCATTCAATTCTTTTAAGGCATATTTCATAGTAATGGAAATATTTGGATTGGTGTTGTTATTTGTTGCTTTCTTGTTATAACTTGTTATTTAATATATTACCAACGCAAATCAAAGTAAGGCATTACTTTTTTATTATTTTATTTTTTAGTAATACATTTTGATTTATTTAAACATAAAATTATCAACTTCAATAAAAATTTTATTTTTGACGGAATTTACTGATAAAAGTTATGGTTAGTTATTTAAAATAAAAGATTTTCAATTTTTATTATTATTTTTTTTTTCCTAATGACTTTTTCTTTTACATAGATTTTATGGTAACTTTTTCTTTTGCGTAGAATAAAGAGAACTTCTGCACAAGCGTCAAGCGAAATGCAACGTCCCAGTACTGATGTAGTTGCTCTACATTTTTTCGAAACACAGAATTCAGATGTTGAACAGCCTGCTACGAATTGCCATGGTAATTTAAATGAGGATTTGGGAGTAATTACCATTGTTAATTCTAACAAGTCCCCTCCCTCGTATAATTTAGTAGACCTACATCCACCGCCTTCATACGAATCTACTCAGTTTTTAAACTTATTAAATGTTATTTCAAGCGATGACCCTCCGCCTATGTACTCTGAATAAGATTCTTATTAAAAATTGAACAAAGTTTTATACAAAAGAACAACTTTATTTTTCTAAATTTTTTAAAATGTACAGGCTCAATAATAAAAAAAATATGTCGCATTTAAACGTTTAATTAATCACTTTGACGTTGTCTCTTTAACTGATAAATAAACATAGTCAAATTTTTAAAAAGTAATGATCTATAAATTGCTGATTTAGCAAGATTTTTTTATTTTAGATAGCTAAATGCTAAAGTATTTGCTAAAAAATAGCAAATGCTAAAGTATTTGCTAAAAAATAGCTAAAGTATTTGCTATAGTAAACGAAACGGATACACATACAACAAAAATTTTCAACAGATGCACTCTCTATAAAAGTATAACATTACAATTATCGTTTAGTAGTTTTGTAGTAAAGCAGTAAACTGTTATAATATAGATGTAAAAGAATAATGTAATAATGAAAAGATCTAATTGAGTACTAACATGTTTAGTGGTGACATTTTTTTATCAGTGGTTAACAAATCTTCAAAATGTATTTCAGTTTAATAAAGGAATTTGTTCTCATTTTACAGCTATTTAAAAGATTTTTTATTAAAAAATCATTTGATTGTAAGAAACAGGCAGTTTTAAAAATAATTTTATGAATGTTTGAACTTCAATAATGACTAAAGAATCAATAATTGAAAAACATTAAAAGCCATAGTCATCATCAAGTTCTCTAAATCTAACATTGATAGTATTTGTAGTCTTCACTCTGAAAACAACGTACTAGGTTTAAATCCATAAAATACTCTTTTATGAGCTTTCTTTTTTGCAAAACTTCACTCCTTTTTGCTCTATATCACACTTGGTGTTATTTTCCCTGAAAGTTCACGGATACTTGTTTTGCAAGCGATATCCAAAATTTTGAAGATTTTTATTTCAGATAATTGTCTATTGAGCGTTTTTAATAGCACTAATAAAAAAGGTAAGCGGTTAATCGACTTTCAGATTTCTTAGTTCAGGAATTTTGATTTCAAAAACTGTTTGCATACCATCCCGAAATTGTTCATCATCCGTTGAAATTTACGGTCATCTAACTCCAGAAGATCTATTATTGGAAATATCAAGATATTGCTGAGTTCATCATAGATTTTGGCACATAACTGAAACCAACCATTTTGAATGTGCATAGATACTGCCAGCATTAACTTATTAGAATTTATGTCAACCACATTGGTAAAAAAATTCATTATTAACTCTCTTGCTGTTTTAAATCAGTCTAAAAAAAATTTACAAAACCCGCCAAGCTCACTCTATAGGTAGCAGAAACTCGCTTCAAGAATTATATATTATAAAAGCAAACTGACTCAGGCAAACCCATTACTAAAACAGATTAATGTTTTAAAACATTTACCAAATCAATATATATCAAAATATTTTGTTTATGTTCAAACATAAAATGGGAACTGTTTAAAGTTGATTTACAATTAATTATTTTAAAACTAATATAAATAAATTTAGCAATAGAGCAACTGAAAACTATATAGTACCGTTGAAAAAAAATTTCCCAATTTTCTGTAGCATATCGTGGTCCTTACTTGTAAACAAATTAGTACCAAAAGTTTCCTCTATACCCCTCCTAAAATATATATATTCCTTAAAGGCTAATCTTAAAAAATTGTCTTAGATACAAGCAGTTATATGGAAATTTTCTAATATCTTATTAGTAATTCAATATCAAAAATATTTTCAAAAAAAAAATCTAAAACTTAAATATATAAGCAAATATGAATATACAAATTAAGGTTTATTTTTTTCTTTTTTAAGACTTATTTTGTCTTTTCAAAATATAAACTGTAAAACTATTTTACTTTATTATATTACTTTGTACATAAAATATATCCTAATATTATTTCAGTTATTTTTGAGGCATTTTGACTGTATTTGCAGTAAAAGTACATATATTGTTAAAACTATGAATTTTGTATATGCATATATATATATATATATATATATATATATATATATGTATATATATATATATATATATATATATATATATATATATATATATATATATATATATATATATATATATATATAAAGTACATATATTGTTAAAACTATGAATTTTGTATATGCATATATATATATATATATATATATATATATATATATATATATATATATATATATATATAAGAAAATATGAAGGAAAAAGAAGCCAAGCAAAACAACAATATTCAAAAAATGAATCAATTTTTTATATAAAAATACTACAAAGAAAATATTAAATAGTACTAGAAGCCTTTCAGTATTGATCATCAGTAGTACTATTGCAAATGTAATTATCATGATTTTGATTTATGTAAAAAGTTATATAATAGAAGTATTTAATAGCAGTTTTTGTAACTATGAGTTACCATTGTTATGTTATTATAAAAGGAAGTATTAGTTGAATGTGTCATGTTTTTGTTCATGCAGATAATATTTATAGGTCAATAATTTATTTTCATTTTTTAAGAAACAAACACTCATGACTATTTAAACTTTAACAGTCATCATCCGTATCACATAAAAAAGAATATACCTTATAACGTAGCTAAAAGAATAATCGTTGTTACGTCTGATTATGCTACAAAAAAAAGTACGTCTAACGGAACTTAAAATATGGTTAAAAGAGTGTCATTACCTTGATAATGTAATAGAAAAAGCACTTCATAATGCAAAGTTACAAGGGCCAGCGCCAATGAAACAATCAAAGGAAGCCTTTCCTTTGGTGACTACCTTCTATAGTAACTTAAACTGTCAACCAATTTTAACTGAAGCTAACCTTTTACTTAGTTTATCTGATAATGAAAGATTAAAAAAAGTTTTTACAAATAATCAACCAGTAATAGCTTACAAACAACCACCAAACTTACTTAGACAAATTACGCGCTCAAAATTTCACTCTACGTCATCTGTCTAAAAATGGGGTTATTCAAATGCAAAAACAGTCGATGTAAAATCTGCCGAATATATTTACAAGAAGTAGATAGATTTGAGACATCCAATGGCACAATTTGGAACATTAAAAGTCACATTACATGTAATAGTAAAAATGTCATTTATTATCTAAAATGCTTATCATGTAATGGACGCTCTAAAAGAAAAAATACAAATTGACATACACCATGCAAACCTGGAGGCACATCAAATAACACCAGAGTTGGTTAAGACAGTAACAAATAAAATTCTTGAGTAATATCATAATGGTTTTCCTAAACATAGTTTACTAACATATTCATGCAATGATTTAAATTTAATAGATGTATCAGATGATATTGTAAGGATACCGAAAAGTCAAGAAGCTAACAGAGAGAATAATATATATATATATATATATATATATATATATATATATACATGTATATATATATATATATATATATATATATATATATATATATATATATATATATATATATATATATATATATATATATATATATATATATATATATATATATATATATATATGAAAAATTAGCAAACGGTAAAGAGTATTTAATATCAGACTTTGAATTAAAAATAAAAAAAATTAAAATTAAATTGGAGCGTTAAAGCACTATATAATAGAAAAGAAATTATATACCAAAAATAGAATTTATATTAGGAACAACAAAAGGGAAAGAATTTAGAGAAATCGCAGATTTGAAAAGAGAAGTTTTTGATAACTATGTAAAAATTTTGATCAGCTGTAACCGAAAAAAGAAAAAATACAAATTGACATACACCATGTAAACCTGGAGGCACATCAAATAACACCAGAGTTGGTTAAGACAGTAACAAATAAAGTTCTTGAGTAATATCATAATGGTTTTCCTAAACATAGTTTACTAACATATTCATGCAATGATTTAAATTTAATAGATGTATCAGATGATATTGTAAGGATACCGAAAAGTCAAAAAGCTAACAGAGCGCACTATTCTTAAGTGAGAAGTTTGAGGTCTAAAAGTTTAATTGTCTTGAAAAAAAAATTGATCTAGTGTAAGGTTCCCGATATTGTTACCTCTATAAAGTCTAAAATAGTGAACAAATGCAAAGAAGAAACAATGAGACTTAATTGTATTTGATGATTTGATGATTCAAAATTCAAAATGGCAGCTTTTGTACAATTTAAGGCCTTAAGTGAGGTACGCAATTACGCAACTAGACTCATATTGAGCTTATAACGATATTAGACAATAAATGCTATTTGTAGTCTTCACTCTGAAAACAACGTACTAGGTTTAAATCCATAAAATACTCTTTTATGAGCTTTCTTTTTTGCAAAACTTCACTCCTTTTTGCTCTATATCACACTTGGTGTTATTTTCCCTGAAAGTTCACGGATACTTGTTTTGCAAGCGATATCCAAAATTTTGAAGATTTTTATTTCAGATAATTGTCTATTGAGCGTTTTTAATAGCACTAATAAAAAAGGTAAGCGGTTAATCGACTTTCAGATTTCTTAGTTCAGGAATTTTGATTTCAAAAACTGTTTGCATACCATCCCGAAATCGTTCATCATCCGTTGATATTTACGGTCATCTAACTCCAGAAGATCTATTATTGGAAATATCAAGATATTGCTGAGTTCATCATAGCTTTTGGCACATAACTGAAACCAGTTTTAATTTTTTGAAAGTATACCGAAAAGTATTTTGAAAGTATACCTACTTTTAATTTTTTTGAAAGTTATTTTGAATTCACATAGAAAGTGCTTTCACATTAATATAATAAAAAAGACATATATTTAACATGTTTAAAGTAATACTCTAAATATTAAACCACCGAAATATGAAAACTTTAATATCTATCAATCTAGTTTCATCTCACAAAAAAAAACAATTAATTCCTTAGTTCAACATAGCAAAGATAAAATTTTAGTCGAAAGATATTTTTTGGGTTGTAAAAATAGATACTAGATACAGCAAAAGCACAATTAAGGGGCTGGTATATTATCGGCAACCTTACCATAGATAAAAGGATTTTATAATATATTATAAAAATGAACTCGTTAAAGGAATAGGCAATTAAAGAGCTATCTAAGCTTTCACAAGAAAAAGTAATCACTTTTGCGTAATGGTAAGAGGAGGTTGCTATATTAACAGCAACACCGCAACTACATCCTTGACAGTCTGAGCCAACATCATCACATAGACTGGTACCAAAACAGCGGTCTACATTTATACCTAGACCTCTTCCAAAAATTGAAGAGCCACCTAAATTAATACAAAAAATTACTACTAAGCAATTCGAGATTTTTTAGGAAAAACTAGTAGGTATTTAGAAGAAAAAGACAAATTATCAGATTTTGAGATCCACAAAAAAACTGGTCGATTTGCAAACTATTCTGCAGAAATACTACAAGGTCACAGACTCGAGTTCGGCGTTTTTGTATTTATAAACAAGGTGACAAAAATATTTTTAAAAAGTAAAATTAAGAAAGATGGACCAAAAGTTACACTGATT